ATTGTGCAATTGGGGGTCAGAAATGTAGAAGTAACAAAAATAGACAGGATGTTTGGATAGAAAAATCTAGTGGGATCATAACTAATGTGACGAATAATTGTTAATGCAATTAGGGATTAAATATGTAGAAATAATAAAATGACAAAATAGACAGGATGTTCGGATATGAAAATATGGTAGTGTAAATAGGGACTAAGAAAACCTAAAAATAACATGAATAAACAGGAAATTTGGATAAGAAAGTCAATGGGATAGTCACTATTAAAAGAACCACTTGTTTATGATGGCCATGACAGGGACAAGGGTTGAACGTATTTCTTTTGGATACATAGCGTGGGTTTGAGCTTTTAGATAGCTAGTGCCTCGGCTATGCTCAGATGTCTTAATTTCACTCCTTTTGATAGGTTTGATCGAATCTTGAATATTATTTTGAAGGATTTTTCGGATGACCAGATGTTCTGTCACTGAGCTATATACACGTTTTCGTTCTCCTTTTACTAGCCAGGCTGGATAGTGTTCACGAGCGCGTTTTTTAGTTATAAAGCAAGCTCGTAGGCCATTCAGTCACTGGAGGCTGATCCAACGATCCTTGAATCCCGACTTATGCCAATTCATGAAGTCAACTCTTTATCGAGTCTGTAACCAATCAACTGTCTGCAAACCAACACTCGATAACTTATCCGATGTTTAGCCACAGGTCTACTTGATATTGAATCAGGCCACAAAATTGATTTTGACAATAGTGAAATAACCCGCCGATGATATTCGCTCGTGGTTGCGCTTTATCGTGAATTGGCAGAAGGTGGAATTCATGAGCTGGCCATTGGGTTGGGTCCCAGAGAGTGGCTTAATGGTCTACAAGCTAGCGCACCTTGTAACCAGATGGTCCTGGGTTTGAACCTTGTCTGCGGGGGGGGGGGGGTGCCGAAGAGTCCCAAACTAGGACAACGGAAACAACTGTCCAGTACTCTCAGGTTTCCCAGTGGTTCTCTAACCGATGTCAACTCATGATGAAATCCTGAAATCTTTGACAGTTGATTTTCGCCACGTAATGCACTTCCACGGGGACGCCAAAAACCAATAGCTGGAGACTGTTGGTGACATGGCTGAAAATCTTCCTCAGTGGTATAGATGCGTTCACTGTTTGCAGTCTGCCAAATCCAGTAAACTCTCGTATTTTCTTATGTTACTATTCTTTTCCCAGAAAATTTCTGCTCATTATAGTTACTTTGAAATAAATGTTTGTCTTGCCTTCCTCTGCCTTTGTGTACTGTAAAGAAATTGGCAACTTGACATGCTACACTTCTGAGTAAAATTTCTATGTCAAAACTCATTGAAGAGCTAAAACAACACACCAAAGGTGTGCAATTTTTCACACATGCGCAGAAGTGAAGATTATAAATCTGTTGGGGCGGGAAGGGTAGGAGGGGAAGATAAAAGTAATTTTAGAAAACAGAAAGATTGAGCGAAGAAATATTTACTTTTCAATTAGATCCTCATCTCACTCTGGCTCTACTCTAATATATTCTGTATAGCATTTTTATTATTACAATACACAACAGTTTACCAAACAAGTGGCACTGATATGTTTGTTAACAATAAACAGTCAGTGTCAAAATGTCAATGGGTTGATAATAAACGAAGAAAATCAATACACACATTTAAAAGGTAGAAATGGTTAGAATAAATTAATTTTACAAGGATAACACGTAATTAAAGATGAAGTGGTCAAAATAAATAAAATTGAAATAAAATAATTTGGACAATAATAATTTTTATAGTTTTTAAATATTTAGGGGGAGAGGGGTGACGTAGTCCTGTTTATGCATTCTTGTAACGATGGCCACGGTGAGGAAAGTGGCTGTACAAATTTCTTCTGAACACATAGGCTTGGCTTCTTCAGGTGGATTCCGATTGCGTCAGCTGTCTGTAGAAGACTAACTCGTAGAGCAAAATAAGGATTAGTCAGAATGCGATAGATAATTTTAAATGCAGTATTAACATCACCCTTATGCTCAGTATCAACAAGGTGTGCTAAAATAGAACTACGAATAGATCTTGTTTGTCCCTTGCTTAACCATGTTGGATGATATTCGGAAATCCGAACATGAACCTTCCTAATTATACGCCCAATAAAGCTGGCTCTGCAGCTGCAGTCGAACTGGTAGATACACATAGAAGTGGCAAATTTAGGTATTTTTTCTTCCTTCACGTTCCCCAGTGGAATATAGGGTTTCAAGCTACAGGCTTGAAGTTTCTGTAGGAGTGTTTATTTTTACAGGATGGGGTTGCTAGCCTCATGCCAAACCTTTCCTCTTCACCAGCATTATTTCTGGCTTAGCGAAGTAAAGGAGTGCGTCGGTGCCCAGGGATCGAACCGCGGACCATGTGCATGGCCGGCGAGCGTCCTAACCACTGTGCCACCGACGCACAAGCGGAGTGCGTCGACCGGTAGTTTATCCTTATTTCTCGAACACAGAATAGGAGTGGTTGTGAAGAGACAACGTCCCTCTACTGCATAATAGGCTGATTTAACTGCATTCTTCAGTCGCTGTGTTATTATTTCGCTGATGTTGTCACCGAGGAACTACAATTTTATGAACATTGGTTTTTTCGGAACCGTAGCCATACCGACTCTCCTGAATTCACCTGAAGAAGCCAAGCCTATGTGTTCAGAAGAAATTTGTACAGCCACTTTCCTCACCGTGGCCATCGTTACAAGAATGCATAAACAGGACTATGTCACCCCCCCTCCCCCTAAATCTTTAAAAACTATAAAAATTATAATTGTCCAAATTATTTTATTTTATTTTTATTCATTTTGACCACTTCATCTTTAATTACGTGTTATCCTTGTAAAATTAATTTATTCTAACCATTTCTACCTGTTAAATGTGTGTATTGATTTTCTTCGTTAATTATCACCCCATTGACATTTTGACACTGACTGTTTATTGTTAACAAACATATCAGTGCCACTTGATTGGTAAACTGTTGTGTATTGTAATAAAAATGCTACGTATATTAGAGTAGAGCCAGAGATGAGGATCTAATTGAAAAGTAAATATTTCTTCACTGCTCAATCTTTCTGTTTTCTAAAAGTAATTTTAGCTTTCCCATTACTGTGACTTCAAATGCAAATGAACGGTGTTGATCAGAGTGGAATTCATCTCTCACTACTGCTGTGTAGTTTTAGATTTGCCCGTGGTATAATTTAATTAATCATTTTTAAGACCATCACTCTAGACCGTGACCTTCGTTTTGTTTCTTTTTAACCAATTAACATTTCAATTCATTAAAGATGCCTATTAAAAAGTGAAAAGACTGATTAGTGAACAAAGAATACTCCTGCGATAAATTTGTCATCAGGTTGTATGTACATTTATACAACTATGATCACTAAAGCATTATTGTTAGCCAGCCTTTTGGCCTGTTTCAAGGAGGTGATCTCATATAAAACTGTCGACGCTCTCAACAACACTTTCACTAAAACACAGTGGTAAGTATTCCCACACACGAAAAATTCGGTCTCTTGAACAATGGCTACAGCAGCAGCTGAAGTGAAAGATAGGCGGCTAGCCTAGGTACTTCATCTGTCAGTTTTAAAATCGAAACCGGGTTTTCGGGAAATATATATGTAAATATATAATCTGCAGAACTATAAATTGAGTAGAGCAGTATAACGAATAATTTAGATAATTAACAGTTTCAGGTATAGATATGATGGAGAAGATTTGTAGCTCAGGTGGATGATTTTGATGAGGTTGTGTTCTCTCAGCTGGATAGTTAATTTGCGAAGATTTCATCACCCTCTACTAGGCAACATCTTCAGCTCATACTTCAATTTGAAGTGAGCTTTTAGATTTCTCCACAAGTAGTTTATTAGTCATCTCTCCTGGTGACCTTGAACGTGATCGGTTGTATCTGTGTGTTTTCACATCGTCTAGGCTACTTGTATTGGAACTGATTGTTTCCTTGGCTTGAAGTTTGACTCTTTGTGTGTGTGTGTGTGTGTGTGTGTGTGTGATTCCCATCTTATCGACTAGTGAATTTTGTCTATGTCGATGGGTCTATTAATTGATGATTCACTGGGATACCAGGCAGGCTTCTAAAAATTCTCTAGCATTCTTTGTGTTATTTACTCTGTCTAATACTTGAACATTGTCCCAGTTGAATTGATGTCCGTGGTTGTCCTAATGTGGTGAGGCGATATGATGGAGTCGATATCATATCTTCATATCCATGATCATAAGCTAGCCCTCAAACTTCAAGCCAAGGAAACAATCAGTTCCAACAGATGTAGCCTAGACGATGTGAAAACACACAGATACAACCAATCACGTTCAACGTCACCAGGAGAGATGACTAATAAACTACTCGTGGAGAAATCTAAAAGCTCGCTACAAATTGAAGTATGCGCTGAAGATGTCGCCTAGTAGGGGGCGATGAAAGCTTCGCAAATTAACTATCCAGCTCAGAGAACACAACCATATCAAAAATTTTCAGGTATGAACGAAAGCTGAAAGTGCAAGAAGCAGATATAAATTAACAAGGTGAAAGAGTATTCGGAGAAAAACCCCCGGCTAACAGGTAGTCAGTACGACCAGCAGGTTTTCCATCCTGTTAACCATCTATCTATACAACAAGTAAACTTGGTATGTTTACGTTTTTGTGACATGCGTTTGTCTAGAAGTCATTATGTGGTCACTTTGAAATACTTGCTTGCCGGAGCTAGAATGATAACTCTAAATCTACATCTAGTATCTTTCTGTATTTTCTGCTGACTTGATTAAATTTATTCTGTAGATACAGGGGGTTAATCCTCAACTTGCTCAGAATTTATTCTAAAGAAACACGTACTCACTGTTACCATTAGCCCTAAAGCAATGTACTTACTAATTATGCTTACTAAGTGATAAGCTTTCTATGATAAAATTCAAAATTTCAGAATTTCCAGTTCACAACTTAATCTAATCTAAAAACTAATTCAATTGTTTCAGGAATGCAGGATTACAACTATCTGCACACTAACTGTTTCGAGATAACTTTGGAACTTGGCTGTGAAAAATTTCCTGATGCCTCTGAATTACCAAGATATTGGGATGAAAATAAAATGGCTTTACTCAATTATATACTACAAGTAAGCTGTTGTGCTGAATAGCGATTTTATACAATTTGTTTTTAAAAGAATGGATACTGAACAAAGAATACTCTTTTCGATAACTTCATCATCAGGCTCTACAGTTATACATACATTATAGTGAATGAATGAATTACTGTTGTGAACAACATTAATGTTGTTTAAATAACATCGAATCAATAAAAATAATATCAGTGGATTACAGTTCAACAGCATCACCATAAAATAAGCTGAATGTCAGAAAAATTAGGAGAGAATATATTACAAATTCATGAATTTATAGTCTCTACTGAAGGCCAGCCAGGGCAGTAGTAGTGGCTGGTTGGACTTGCTTCTTCTGCACATAGAGCACTGGTTGTTTGAGGCGAATTGCAATAGCCTCTGCTGTTTGGAGCATGCGGTGCTTCGATGTTTTTGGCAATTTATTAGGCACCCGGTAGATGATAGAGAAGGATTCTTCAATGCTGGCTGGCTTTGTGGCCGGTTTGCACCAGATGGTCCAATATCGAACTGTTAATGGTTTTCACTACACCTTTACTTAGCCATAGTGGGATATGTTCTCGAGCAAGCACAAAAAATCAAGTTCCTAGAGCAACGGCCGATATAAGTCGCCCCACAAGCGCAGTTGAATTGGTAGATACAATTTGAAGTGGCTAGCTAGTCTAGGTACTTCATCTTTCAGTCGAGGTAGCACCATCGGTCGTGTAGAGAATAAGACGTGTAGTTCGCCAGCATTAAAAGTTCTTTGAACTGATTTTCTTAATTTCTTCGTAATTATTTCACTCAGTATATCGCCCTTGAATTGCAGTCGTATATAAAGAGGCTTCTTGTTTACGGATAGTGAGTAGTCCTTTTCTGCTTTCTTTGTCATGTGTTTCTTGATAAATTTGTCGGGATAGCTATTTTCGATCACAGTATCATAAAGAATGCTTAATTCGTCTTCATTTACTTCTTCTGAGCATATAGCTCTAACTCTGTGGCTGAGGGTCTTTACTAAATTTCTTTTGTACTTGAAAGGAACGAAGCTGTGAAAATGTGTATATTGTCCTGTCCAAGTACTTTTTCTATGCAAATTTCTTTTTATGCTACCATCTGGTTTTCTTGTAAGGAGGACATCCAGGAAGGCAATTAATTCTGTTTTGGGATTCCTCTTCGCATGTGAATTTCATAGCCGAATGTACTTCATTAATGTTGTTCATAACACTAATTCATCATTCATTCACTATAATGTATATATACATAACTGTAGAGCCTGATGAAGAGCAGGTTGTCGAAAAGAGTATTCTTTGTTCAGTATCCATTCTTTGGTAAATTTCAATGGGCATTTTTAATCAGTTAAAATTTGTGTTTTATTTGTTCCTTTTTCTGTATCTACTGGGGTCGTTTTATTAACCACTCTTCAGGTTACTTTCTTACTTTTGAAAATAATGAATAAACATCTCTGATCACGGATGTTGATGTTTCATAGCGTCATCTTTCTCTATCCCAGTAAATTAATACACTTGGATTCATGCGTGACTAAGAAACTACTGAAATATGTACTTGAAATTGTGTTGATTTAGGTAACGAAAAAAGACTTGTCTGTAATTCTTCTGACTTCCCATTGTATTAAACTAAAATGTGTAGACTAATATTCTCTTTGTGATCTGAACATACATCGCTTTGAATTGTATTCAAGGTCTGTATTTAACAACCTATTCAAGCGATAGTTGATCAAGACTAAAGATACATCGGATGATCAGTCAGTGCCAATAAGCGCGACGTCAACGTTTAAGGGTTAAAAATAAGTAATTCTTTGACTAGTGTAATGTGTCTAGTCCTATCTTCGGTGCAGACTGAATTCTATCAGTCATGTTTGCAATGTGGCCACCATTCTAGGTAGCTCGCTATCACGATGCATATTGATTCGATGATAATAGATGGCTGGAGGCAATAGGCCATAGGAAACCCAGCCTCACCTAGGTTTCGTGCTAGTTGGCACTTACCAGTCAGTCAGCAAGGCGTTTCTGCACTTACCTTGAAGGAACTCATGTCCTTTCTGAGATTCGAACCCATGTCACTCAGTGCTGCAGTCACAAACGTTACCATTGAGCTATACGGGCTCGTGATTGACCTCCTTTCCGTAGGACTGTAACGGATACTTTGATTGGATACTAGTAACTAGTAATTCTTCATATCAACTCATAACAAATTAACGTGCTGTTACGTATCATCACAGCGTAGCTCAATAGTCTATAGAACAGGTTTGTAAACTGTCAAAATAGTGACCATCTCTGTCTACCCGTTAGTCAGATTAACAACGAATCAGATTTCACCGTATCTAACAGACATCTACTACTCGGCGTCTGTTTCCGTTCGACTACTTCTCATAATAATAACATTATCAATGTAATTGTATGATTATCTCTCGCTCAATCTATTGGAAGAAAAGTTTTTCGCGTTTATTAACTGAAGCCGAGATCGTCTACTAGGAAACTGATAAACACTCATTTTTTGTTAACTGGCATTGTGTGATTATTTTAGTGAGCAATGCAAAATGTTGGGTCATTATTGTACGACAGATCTAATCGGGAGATTTAATTCAAGACACTTCGAACTACGTCGATTGTCATCTTGCCTCTAAAAAAAAGTAATTATGACATAATTTATTATTATTGTTCCCTTGGGTTCCTAGTGGAACATAGGACTTCAACTGCACGCCTCCACTTGATTCTACCTTCTGCTTTACTTTTCACATGCATCCATGTTAATCCATACTGTTTCAGCTCCTCTTCACACGATCTCCTCCATGTCACCCTTGGACGACCAACTCGCCGCTTCCCTTTCAGGTTCCCCTCGAGTGATGGCCTGACGCGCGATGTCACCCAGCGGCCTCCTCAGCGAGTGTCCGATCCATCCATCTCCACTTTCTCCTGCATATTTGTTGGGCGATTGGTTCTTGTTTTGTTTGTTCCCATAGTTTCTTGTTGGTGATTTTTTCCGGCCATCTTATCTTCAGTATAGAACGAAGACAGCTGTTGATAAAGGTCTTCAACAGGCTGTTGGAAATATTCTTTGTGACCCGCCAAGTTTCTGAACCATATAGAAGAACTGACTGACTTGAGGTTTGTATTGAAAATCCGAATTTTGTTGGTGATGATATAATTTACCAGGTATTAAATTAAAGTTGTCTAATATGCACAGTTCTTTACCGTTTGACTCCTAACAGCTATCATAAAGTGAAGACAACTGGTTTTGCTGTGTCCCATCTGAATACTTAGACGTAAAGCTGACTGAGGCGTGTTGTAAACTTGAAAGCACTACAAATGTTAGACACACTGCTTGATCAGGAATAAGACATATAAAACGGAAACAGATGAAAATTATCTAAAATTAGAGCGGATGGAAGTACAAAATAGTGACTTTTGTCAAAAGAAGGACAGGAATTTCAGAAAAACAGCTTATTTTGTTTAAGCTTGCTTCAGTATATATGAGTGCATGTGAGTAAAGAAACAAGTTGCGTGGGTGTAACATGCTAGCACGTTGAACAGTATGAACTGTCACAAAATCTTTTGTTACATATTGTAACTGACGCTTAAAACTAACACATGAAACAATACATTTACTTACAAGAATTAACTGTCCTGCATATACACAGTAATAATAATTTAAGTGTTAAAGATATACCCCACATAAAAAGAACACCTATAATATAGTAATTAACAACCAGAGACAATATATATATTACAAGTTTAAATTTGCACATTTCCAATTGATTTTTAGACAGCCGAAATTAGGAACAAAAGCCATTTGACATAGCTGTTAGATATCCATCAAACACTGAAACAGTAGAATTAACGCGAAATCTAATTATTTTTGTACTCAGTTGCTCTTGTTCTCAGGCTTAGTATCAGTGATAAACTCACTTAAAATATACGTTGACTGCATTCGCTGATATATCGTCTTCTACAGGATGAGCGTGCGTCGATGGCATAGCGGTAGAATTCTCGACAACGACGCCTCACGTGGCTTGGGGTTCGATCCTCCGCCAACACACTTCAGAGACACATAGTTGTATTTTCATGAAGAATAAAACACAGAAATCAGTGTAACTTGTTATAGTTGCCCATTAACCTTCATTCCCTGTTCCCACCATCTCCCCCATGTTATCCTCTAATCGACGACACACTCGTAGCCTCCTATTTGTCTTCCGATCAGTGGTTCCCTCGGGGTAATTCCAATTCGTTTTCAACTCTTTCTGAATACTTCTAGTATGGCTAACTGGGACTGTTACTTGCTATTGATTCTTTCTGGCCATCCGGTCTTCAGTATAGAGTGAAGGCAGCTGTTGATGAAAGTCTAAAGCCTCTTCGAAGCGTCTTTCACAATATGCGCACCAAGTCTCTGGGCCATATAGAATAGCTGACTGACTTGACATTAGTGCTGAAAATCCAGATTTCCGTCCTTCTGCCAAGTGCAGTACATTTCCAGACTGACTTCAAATTATTGAATATCTATTCTGCCTGTCCGATCCTGACAGAATTTGACATCCTCATTTTTGCTGTCACGTATAGTTGAAACGATGATGCCTACATATATGACTTCCTTCAGATTTCTCCTGTTGATAGTGATTGGTGCTTGCTGTTGGTGGTTGTGGTGATGGTGTTTTCTCTCTCTTTACCTGAAGTCCTGTCTTCACTGTTTATTCTGCCAACTTGCTCGTTTTCGTCTGCAGGTCATCGAGTTTGTGTGACATTATACGTGAATCATCCGCGAGGTCGAAATCTTCTAGAGGCCTCATATCTGCTCAACCTAGAGTCCTGTCTTCCTCCTTCCCGTGGTGTGTTGCATGATCCAGTCCATCGCAGTAAGTAATATCTACACTTCAGAGGCATTGAAGAGTTTGCCATTATGAATCAATTGACAAGGAGCATCACTGTACAGCTGTTCAATAATGCTAGGATTGAAGGAGTGACTTAAATGCGTCACGATTGGTGTAGCAATGGGATGCATCACCAAAA